TGGACTCTTTGGGATACTTTTCAAGGGAGCTCTTCTTGGAGGAGGTTCTGTTAGGGTTTTTGGTTTCAGGCCGTGCGTGACGAAGTCAAGAATATTGGGTTGAGGGTTTTGCGTTGAGAGTTTTAGGTTTCAGGTTTTGATGTTTAGGGTTGAGGGTTTGAGGGTTCAGGATTTTAGGGTTTAGGGCACAAGGTTTAGACCTAAACCCTGTTACTGCTCTTCTGATCAACCCCAAACCCTAAACCCTAAATCCGAAACCCTCGTGCCTAAAGAGATATAGAAGGCCCGTGACCACAAGACCTTCCAATACTTCACAGGCAGAATACAGGAGCCTTAATTTAGGGTTTAGGGTTTAGGGCAGAATATAGGAGCCTTGATAATTGCCTATACAATTTTTTGGGGGTTCCTTTTTATAATGATAGTATAATGGGCCCCAAAATACTATTCTAATGATTCAGGCCCCTACATTACCCTTCATGTATCGTCTAGATGCACACGAGGGGTGAAGCCGCACGTTTCCACTATATCCCACACCGTGTGTTTCTGTGCTGTTACCTAGACCCTCCTACGTCTTTTCGAGCTTTAGATTCGGAGTTTTAGGGGTGTCTACCTTGACCTTGACCTTGTTTCCTACAAGTTCCGTGTCAGGGCTTATAAAAAGGTCATGCAAGAAGTGGTTTTCGAAGTTTACGGTAGGGTGTGGGATTTAGGGTTTGAGATGCCAGCAGAGCTTCATCTTCCACGTATAATAATCGAGCAACTTGCCTTTACTGACAGGGCTTGTTGTTTAGACCCAAGACTATTTTAATGAAAATATAATTACTCGACGCATGAAATTACTCGAATAATCCGTGTGCTGGTAATCTTCATCTCGACTATATACGCATGACAATGCAACTACCGTAACATTTTGAGCAGCAAGTTTCAACTCTGCTGATGCTCTTAGTACAGGCTTCCTACCACCGCGAGGTTTGCAACTCGACGACTACCATCGTTCCTCATGCTTGTGATGCTCTTGTTGTTGTTCCTCGTACTACTCCTACGGCTTCTGCTCCTCGTGCTCTCCTGCTACGTCTACTACTGCTACTACCACCACAACAACTACTACTACTAC